AAAACTAAAACCACCCCTAAATCCGAAACCCCAAATCCCCTAAACCCTAAACCCCTACACCTTAAACCCCGAAGCCCTAAACCCCTGAACCCCAAACCCCAAACCCCCAAACCCCTAAACCCCTGAACCCCAAACGCCTAACCCCGAAAGCCCTTGGAGGAATCCAAAGTGCATAGGGACTCTTGGGGGGTATAGGGGTGGCGGACTATATATTCCCAAATAGGCGTTGTCAGGTATTATGGGCGTTAAGAGCCCGACCCCCCTCCCCCTGTATACTCCCCCAAAATTCCCTATGAGGAATATTGAAACCCTTACAGAAACCGGTGCCCTGATGGCGTGCAGCCTTAAGGAACTCTCAAACCGTCCCAAACCCTACGCCCTACGAACTGAACCCGTCAACCCCTGAACCACTTCCCCCTCTGTTCAAGGGCCGCTGCCAGCCGGCTCGGGCTCAAACACTGTCGCTGGCCTGTGGCGTTCGTGTCTGTTTGCTTCAGAGCCTTCGTTTTCGGTTTTGGGGGTTTACCTGTCGGCTCATACTCTACCCCTTTTTAAGTTACCTACTTTTCCAAATAACAACTCTTAACTAAGGAACTAGATACCTAAAAAGAGGGGCAGGGTATGAGCCCACAGGTAGGTTCGGGCTCAAGAGCTTCTTCTTAGGGGGGTAGGGGAAGGGGGTAGGGGGGCCTTCATACCCATAATAAAGAACTAAACGGCCTATTCAAGGACATGTAGTTAAGATGGCCCCTCGCCTGATAACTCTATGAAAACCACGAACAATAAAAATGGAAAAGGAATGAAAAGATAATGGAACCAAAAATCAAAACAAGAGACCAGGACCGACACAGGGAATGGAAAAAGACAACCACAAAAACGAAACAAAACGTGGACAAAAAAACAAAACAAATTTCAAGCAAACAAACACAAACTGCCAGGGCCAGGGCATCAGGGGCGACAGGTTCAAAAAAGGACCACCCTGGACCAGCATTCTGAGTTTGGTTTTTCCCCATTTTTTCCATTGCGTGGGGGTGGGATTTGGGCCCCGTCCCAGGTGGCCTCCATCCTGGGAAAAAACACAAATTCCCTGAAGCATTTGGGGAAAGGGGCAAAAAATTGAAAATCATGGAAAAATAATGGAACCAACAATGGAAAAGAAATGGAACAAACAATGGGAAAAACATGAGATGGATCGGGGCCGCACGGGAACTATGGGAGAAAATGAAACAAAAATCAGATGCCAAGTGCACCCTGCAACCAAATCGGAGAAACATTGAAGTCAAAATGCCACGGGATTCTAATCCCATATTTTTCCATTGTTTTCCCATTGCTTGTTTGATTGCCTGAGTGCCTCGATTCCATCTGCAATCTCAAAGTAATCCATTTTTTTAAATTTTCCTGAGATAATAACGTTAACAGGACCGCGACATCATAAAAATATAGTCTCCTACTCGCCTCCCCCTACCAACCTAAGGGTCCCTATGAGTTCAGGGCTAAGGGTTCAGTAACTGTTCCCCTGAGGCTCTAAGGACTCATATTTTAAGGCTTTTGGGCCTAAAGATCATAGTATATAAGGCTTTTCGGCCTAAAGATCATATTATTTAAGGCTTTGGGGCCATTTTGAGCCTTATAAGGTTCTGGTTACTGGTTCCGACTAGCATGTCGCGCTCGTGGAGTTGGGGCTTCTGGGTATCTTGGGGGCTCGAGGCGTAGTTGTCCTGAAAAACCCTGGGTTTCGGGTTTCGGGGGTTACGGTTTAGGGGTTGAGTGAACAAGCCGTGGTGAAAATACGTCCTTTTTGGGTTTAGGGTTCCTGGTTGTGGTATGTTCGCTGCTTCGGGCAGCAACTTAAAAGGAGCCAAATAGTACCCTTAAGTCTCATGGTACCCTAAACCCTAAACCCTGAACCCCATAAACCCTAAACCCTATAAACCCTGAGCCCCTTATTCGGACCCTCAGTAAAGCCGGGACCGAGGCCGAATATGGATGTCTCCAAATGGATCCTCCAACTGCCACATGGCCGCGGCGTCGAGGGAGTTTCCGAAAATGTGCAATTAGGGGTTCCTTATTTTTTGGCTCCTTGCAATAAGGATCCTACTAAATAGAGTACTATATTAGGGTCGTCGAGGAAGGAAGACAAGACTTGCCAAGTCGAGGATAAGGGTCTTTATGGGCTCTTAGGTTTGAGGGTTTACAGGGGGTTTAGGGTTTATAGGTCTTAGGGTTAGTTCCTGTTGGACTCAGGTGTCAGTAAACGGGTCTTTGTAACATGTAACGTCTTTACAAAGGTCCGAAAAGTGCCTGATAACGGATTCATGTCGTTTCCTTTGAAAACCTAAACCCTCTAGAGCCTAAGCCGTAGTTCTTGCTGGGGAGCGGGACTTCGGATAAGGCTGGTGGGGCAAGGCTCCGCCTCTCATATTCCACTTTTGGGACTACTTCACTTGAGCGGGCTTCGGCGATGCAAGTCCGGATTTCAGAGCTTACCCCGACGGTCCGAGGTATACAGGGTTATAGACAGTTCGACAATCAGAAGAAGGGCTTTGGGGATCAGGATAGCAAAGATCCATATAAAGTCCGTAATGTGGCCAACCCTAAACCCTCAATCCCTGTTGCCAATTCTTCCGCCCCCTGTTGTCACCCCCCTAGCCAAGTAGGCTTCTGGGCACGAAAAATCATGCAGATAATAGAGGGGGGCCTCAATATTTACCTATACTATTTTGGGGAGTTCCTTATGATAATTATAGTTGTTTGAGGGGCCCCAAAACCCTTTTCTAATTATGAAGGCCCCTATAGTAGGGGATTCGAGCATAAATTACACCTACTGGTACAGATGGCGATGTACACCCAAGTTCAAAAACTTGAGGGTTTTGGGTGGTTGAGGAGGCGATTACGTAAACCGGTCGTCAGCCAACCCCATGCCCTCAAACGCTGCGCTCAAAGCCGAAGCTGTGGTGCTACAACTTTTCTTGTACCACCCGTCAAAACAACAGACAACTGAAGCGCTAAACCCTAAACCCTATGAGCTTCTTTTAGAATCCCGGTTAAAAACCCTAAACCCTAAACCCTAAACCCTAACATAACACACCCTACAAAAGCCTATCAACCCCAGTAGAACCCTGAAGACTGACTGTATCCTCCTGCATTGCGCTCGGACCAGCGGGCACCCTCGTAGGAAAACACGGTTTAGGGTTTAGGGTTTAGGGTTGACTGAGATAAACACATCTTGAAAATAGACTCTGTCTGAAGTTCTGAAACGAGGAACCCAAACTCCTGTGATTCAGTCTCATGATTTATGCGTCTTCCATACCGATACCCTCTGAGCAAGGTCCGCTTTCTTCCTTCAGCGAAGCATGGTGACATTAGGACGAATTGGCCGGCGACTCATCTCACAAGGTGCAATAAAACAGGTGGTCGTGGTCGGTTCGGGAAGCCCGAGCCTCCAAAACCCGTTAGTTAAGGAATATACCTTAATTCATGTTACAGATCCTATCATGAATACAATTTAAGGTTTGTTCCTTAATTCCCTCATGGAACAATTATAAATCTCGTGAAGGAAGCCTTTGACGATTTTCAGGCATATTCTTTAATTAAGGGATATTGGAGTCTCTGGGAAGCCTAAGGAAGCCTTTGACGATTTTCAGGCATATTCTTTAATTAAGGGATATTGGAGTCTCTGGGAAGCCTAAGGAAGCCTTTGACGATTTCAGGCATATTCTTTAATTAAGGGATATTGGAGTCTCTGGGAAGCCTAAGGAAGCCTTTGACGATTTTCAGGCATATTCTTTAATCAAGGGATATTGGAGTCTCTGGGAAGCCTAACTTCAACTTGCAGAGTTTGAAGGCTCGCGGCTAGGCAAGAAGCTCGCAGCGAATCTCGTGGCTTGGAAACCTGATGTCCGGCCGGTGATATGTAATTTAGGGGCCTTAATAGTTAGACTAGGGTTTGGGGGTATATTATGTCATAATCATATTAAGGAAATTCTAGAATAGGTAATTATTAAGGCCCCTATGTTAGGTACTTTCAAAGGGCTTCACGACACACTGGGACCTGCATCCAAACCAGTGTCAGTGTTGACTGCGTAGAGCAGTGCCCGCAAAACCACCCTTCTCACCCCAAAGAAACGCGTGCAGCAAAAGCACACTCGTAAAACCTCGTAAAGGAAGTCACCGCAAAAGTAGCACCCAAGCTCCAAACAAACCGGACCAACAATCTAAAAGCAAGGTCATCGTGCTACACTCTTAGAACCCGAAATTTACCCTTGGCCGGACTAGGATTAGGGGTTTACGGCTAAAGTCCATCCTGAGTCTCACACTTTTCTTTTGTGGTTAATATAGGGGGTCTTGATAATTAGAATAGGGGTTTGCGGCTCATTATACTATAGTTATAATGAGGACCCCCCAAAAAAAAACAAAAGTAGTATAGCCAAGTACTGAGGCCCCTATGTTAGTGGGATTCGAGTTCAGTATCATGCAATTAACCCTTAAACCCGCAATAGGGCATATATCAAGGCAACTTAAGCACTTAAGCTTCAACAGGAATCTCAAATCGGTCGCCCTAGTAAACTTCTACCGGAAGCATCCCCGTCCGGAAAGCCTTGTGATAGCACCCGTTTAGAGTGCTCTGGTTGAAACGGGAAACCTGAAACACAGCCCCAAACAGTACCAAACCCTGCATAGTACCTAAACTGCAAACCCTCCAGTAGAACCCTCTATGTATAGTAACCCCTACAGAACCCTAAACTGTAAACCCTGCAGTAGAACCTTTTATGTGTAGTAACCCCTGTAGAACCCTAAACTGACAGTAGAACCCTTTATGCAACCCTTCAGTGGCAATCTTATTCATAGGGATCCTTAGGGGTGTAGGGGGGAGGGGTGTAGGGGAGTATATATCCTTAAATAGGCCTTATTAGTCCTTATTATGGGCCTTAAGGCCCCCTACCCCCCCTCCCCCTACACCCCCAAGGATCCCTATGATCTTATGGAGCCCCCGAGGTCACTCACTTCTTCATGGCAAAGCGTTCTGCACGTTGCTTTCGTTTTTGCTCTTCCTTGCTCAGAAGCTCCATTGGCTTAGGCTTTAGGGTTTAGGAGTTGAGGGGTCCATACATATATATATATATATATATATATATATATAATGTATAGATATGTAGATATTTAGGCCCCGAAACACCATTCATGGTACCTATAAATCCATGATGGTAGCATATATGGCACGTCTGGGCTGGGGTCATAAAGGCTGTCTCAAATTTTGGGGTTCCCTTATGAGTTTAAGTTTTAGTGTTGAAGGAGTTGTAGGCTACCCTGTCAGGGTTCTTCGGGGTCTCAACGAAGGTTCTGTTTTGTGGTTTGCAGGGGGATCGTTTGTGGTCCAGGGTTTAAGGTTTAGTGTTTATAGCTGCAGGGTTTCTTGACAGGTTCCTCTAAGGGAATTAGGGTTCCTTACATATTTCCCTTCGGAGAAAGGATCCTTAGCGGGTATTTCGCGCAATGTGCTAATGGTTCTACCCGGCTCTGTTGGGGTTTACGGTTTGGGGCTAAGGGTGGGGGATCTGGGCTCCGAGGTTTTGCTGGGTCCCAAGGAGGTTCTATTTGGCTTGCAAACCGGACGAGGAGATTTGGATGCTTGCGGGTGTAGCCCAAGTGCCCTTGCATAGAGCTTTTGTGTTCTTCAACAGCGGACACTTCGAAGAGTGCAGTTGGAGGGTCCAGGCCGGATTTCGCTCAAGACCTTGAGCCTTATGAAGGCCTTCAAAGACCCGAAAGACGTGATCCTACCAAAGACAGCACCGCACAAAGCCCCCGGTCTCTTTAAACAGTCCTGAAGCCCCCTCACACCAAACACGTCAAACCCTGAAGCCCGAAATCGTCGAGGTAGAACGCAAACACCGTAGCAACACAGAAATCACTCAAAAGAGTACATACTAAAACCACCACCCTATACTGAAAACGAGACAACTTGGAAATCCAAGCATGCACCCTAAAGCTACTTGAATTAATTAATAACAAGACTAATACCCATTAACAGTAGCACTTGGACAAGTATCGAAAGGAATAGCGATACAATGGAAACTAGCCATGAAACACTAAACCCTTACAAACCAAAACCCCTAAAACCCACAACCTAAACCCTACACTAAAATAACCCTAAGGGTCCAGGTGCTCATGTAGTATATGCATTGGCCTTAATGTAGTCCCGATGTAGGTTCTTTGGGGCCAAAGCATATTCTAAATTCTATCTGGGTACATCCCCAAACCCTAAACCCTAAAACCCTAAAGACCCTAACCCCAAGTGTCCAAAGGACCCAGTAATCAGGTACTCGGTTCTAGGATAGTAGTTATGTAGGTTAGGATTTCGGAGAGTATATGATTATTAGGTACTTGGACCCTTGGGGTAAAGGAATCCTCGAAAACCCTAAACCCTAAACCCTAAAACCCTAAACCCTAAGACCCTAAACCCTAAGACCCTAAACCCTAAACCCTAAGACCCTAAGACCCTAAACCCTAGACCCTAAGACCCTAAACCCTAAACCCTAAGACCCTAAACCCTGAACCCTAAAGACCCTAAAGACCCTAAAGCCCTAAAGACCCCTAAAACCCTAAAGCCCCCTAAAGGGAATGAACCTCGTAGGGACCCAAAAAGGCACATAAGCATATGCATTTTGTGGGAATATCACTACCTTACCGGCCTTCCTTTTAAAGGGGGTTTATATGGGAAATCCCTATCCTAATTTTTGCTTATGTTTTTTTGGGGGGCCCTACCCCGTTAATATAGCTATTATATACCCAGTATATAGCCCGTTATAGGGTAAGGGTCCCCATTAAAGGTACCTACTTTTCCCTAAACCCTAAACCCTAAACCCCAAACCCTAAACCCTAAACCCTAAACCCTAAACCCCAAACCCTAAACCCTAAACCCTACTTTTCCCCTTTGACTAAAGGGAACGACCCTCGGAGGCCTCCGGATCGGCTGGGGCACTGGTCTCAGCGGCTGCGCGCTTGGTGCCGCGTTGTGGAGGCCCCGGGCCCCTGTGGGCTTCGGGGTTTAGGGGTAGTTTAGGGTTTAGGGTTTAAGGCTTTAGGGGTTTAGGGTTTAGAGGTTATAGGCTATAGGGTTTAGGGTTTAAGGCTTTAGGGTTTAAAGGTTTAGGGGTTTAAGGCTTTAGGGTTTAGGGGTTGTAGGGTTTCGGGGTTTAGGGCTGAACGTTTAGGGTTTAGGGTTTACAGGGTTCCGGGTTTAGGGTTGAAGGTTTAGGTTTTAGGGATTATAGGGTTTATAAATCACCCTTTTCACACCCTGACCCTAACACCCTAAACCGGTTGAGGGGTTTAGGGCCTGATTTAGGGTTTAGGGGTTGCTGGCAAGGTTCCTTGACGAGTTCGTCCCATGATCGGGGTTCCTCCAAAGGCCGGTTCCTTTCCTTTGATTTGAGGGTTCTATATTTAGCTAGGGTTCCTTAATTTTGGCCCTTTTAAGGGGTTCTCGGGTTTAAAGTTTAAAGGGGTGTGCGGCCTCGCGGTTGAAGCATTCCTCTGAGGTAGGGTTTAATGAGGTGTGGGGTGTTGGGTTTCGGGCTTTCAATCTTTTCACGGGGTTCTACAAGGACTCTACAAAGGGGTGTGCAATGCGGTGTTTCTGGCTTCCTGAAGAGGTCGATAAGGATTCAATAAAACGGTGTGGCCGGCAACCTGAGAACCTGATGCTCGCTGTTGAAAGAAAGCCAAACCCCTAAGGGTTCCTGTGCGATGATGTATTTACTTTGTCAAAGGGGAAAAGGAGGGACTCCTTTTGGGAGCGCTGTATGGCTGGATTTGAGAATGACCCTGCTCCCAGGCCTTGGGCAATTTCTGCCTGGATTGTGGAGCGCATTGAGTCACTCATAGTCAGAGCTAGCAAGCCCGGAGTTGCAGTGGAGTCCTCTGCGATTCGCAACAGAGCGATTTCCGGGAAAGAGGCTGCAACCCCATTGAACTGGCTTTCCAGGCCGAGCGCTGTGAAAATGGATCTAGATAGTGCTGCAGCGGGTAAAGGATTGTCCCCAGCACGCGTGAGTCCGACCGGCTTTTTGACCGCAATCCTGCCTGAGCGAGAGACAGAACCGCACAAGAAAGCCACAGCGTAAAGCATCGAGTATGTCGACTCAAGCACCTCAGCTCTAACTTTCGATCCAGTTGGGAGAGAAGTGAGGACAGAAGCGGCAGCTGACATGGCCTTGAATGTTGCTCCTCCCTTCATGTTGGTTCCCGTGACGCCCTTTGTTGCGAGGGAGATTCGGCCTTGAACTTTTCCCCGGATAGAACCCAAGCTCAAGTACCCAGAAGGGCGAGTCAAGCTTTGACCATGAAATGGAGCTTTCAGAATGCCCAGGCCAGTGAAAAGGCTCTCTCCTGCGACGTATGTCAAAACTGCCAAAATGATGAGTGGCAAGTAACCTTAATGGGGACCCTTACCCTATAATTGGCCATATAATGGGTATATACTAGCCATATTAAGGGTATATACCTAGGGGTCCTTATTAAGGGTCCCTCCTTTTACCCTTGGACTTTGGCCATGAAACCCTTTGCGCCCCTAAGGGCGAGCAAGCAGCCCATACATAGACTAGAGGTATGGGTAGGATAACACCAGATAGGGTACTTACAATCCTGCCTACAGTTTACGTGCGAAATTTCCTGAGTGTTTGAACTGACAAGAAGACGGCACACTACACAGGAATCATCCATTAATGTCGATTATGTGGCGTTTAAGATTCAGGTGCCGGAGCCGCAAGAGATTATGATACAAAGGTCAGAATGATTGAGCCACGTGTCGGGGCATGCACCGCACGGTGACACCTTCAATGACGAGTTCGATCAAAGAACTACTTGCAGCTATGGGCCCTAAGCACCTATGAATTCTCGCAGTCCGGTTCGAACCGCAATAAAACCTGGCACTCTGAACCTTTGAAGCTTATATAAATCACATATCAAGTTCTGCAAACCCTAAATCCTAAACCAACCCTTAAACTCCTCGCCCCTCACCCCGGAAACCTGAAAACCCCTACCATTGCCACCTTCGCCTTTCGCTTGGGTAGGCCGGCAGCACACGGCCGTTCTTCGCTGCCTGACATATGGTCACTGAGGATTCCTTGACGCAACGGGCCCAAGTCCAAGTACCTAATAATCGTATACCCTCCAAAATCCTAACCCACAGAAACTACTATCCTAGAAGCGAGTACCCAATTATCGGGTCCTTTGGACCCCTGGGGTTATGGTATCCTGTTTGTTAAGGCCTCCTTTAGGAGCCTTTGTGGGCCTCTTTAAGGGTTTCTGAAGGGGTTCCTTCAAGATTCCTTTACGGGATAATTTCGAGGGGAAACTAACGGATACTCTAAAGTTACTGCAAGTTTTTGTTTTCGTCGGCCCGTAGCAGTCCACCCCATCCTTGACTCGCCTTCTGCATGACAGTCTGTATGGCACAAGATTGTGATGAGCAGCACAGGCACCGGCTGGAATATCCTGCGGTCGTGACAACAGACCGTGTACAACTCCTGCCGATGCATCCGCGGACTCCATCAAAGCGAATGTGTTGCCGTGGACCATTGTGTCTAGCATGGCTTGGCACGTCTCCCCTTTCCACTCAATCTCGGTCATCTTCCCCTTCCGGGGACCTGGCGACACGGTCGCGCAAGTTGATGTTGCGGCAGCTCTACGAGACAAACAACGAAGACATCACGCGGAGATCAGAACGAGTTGCTGCCTAAGTCCCAAAAGTAGGTAAAGTATTGGCCCAAAACCCATAAAGGGCCATTCTTCTACATACTTTTGGGGTCCGGGTAACCGGAAACCACAAACCCTAAACCCTCATTAATTCCTCAACTTGAAGTTTCGAAAGCCAACTCTGTAGGACTTGCATCGCAAGATACACGCATGCACAGGATGAACATAGGGGAATAGGGCTTGGGGTTTAGAGCGAAAGGGCCCCTTAGGGTTCCTGCTAACGGGGTCTATAGGGGTTACTATAAGGGCTACTATGAGGGTTTAATAAAATATAGGGGCCTTAATAGTTAGAATAGGGTTTCTCAAAGGGTTCCTTAAAGGGTTCCTTAAAAAAGTAGGGTTCTATAGTATAGGAGCCAGTAGGAAATGGGGGAATGGATTATGGAGACTATTCTTGAGGCTTATGTAGCGACTACTATAGGGAGCCATGCCCCCAGTCCCTTCTAAGCACCAGATAGTCATTGTTCAACACGTCAGCCTCTAGGGGGTTTGGAGTTTAAGGTTTAAGCAGGATCTATCCCAACCATGTGCCACAGGAAAGATATTAATCTCATGGTTAGTGTTGGGTTAGGAGTGATACGTTGCCCGTACTTGACGGAATCGACTTTCATGGACTCGACATGTAGAACAGTAGGTGTAGGGGTCCGACGATATGGGTGGTTGTCAAAATTAGGGTGTCTTTTTGGGTCCCTAGTATAGTACGGCACCTATTATTTAGGGTATCCCAAAAAGGGACCCTAATTTTGACAACCACCCATATGGGTAAGGCATGACCCTCTAGGCAGGGTTTGGAATTTAGGTTTAATGTCTTATAAGGGCATTGAACTCTGAGGCCAAAATCCTGTCCGAACCCCGCGGAACCTACCCCTTTATTCCTCTTTAGGGGTAATGCCTCTGTCTGCTTATGTTAGGTGCCCGAACGTCTCTATCAAACCTTCTGGCGCCCCTGCTCCCAACCTGACGGGGCTGAGGCTTCAGTCTTTCCAGACATAAGATTTGAGGTTTCAGTTCCACTTAGGATAAATATGACGAAGAAATACGTAACTGATCCAAGGCTTTCTTGGGTCAGATTTTCTATGTCTTTTGCACCTATGCAGAGACCAGAAGGTAGTTTGTAAGTGATCATTCGCAAGCTATCACTAGACGTTCCGAGCCCCTACATTACTTCTTGTTTCTGCATGCTCAGTATAGGGGGCAGAATCATCACCAATTTCATAATTCCTCAACGTCCCGACTATTGTTCGTCTACCCCACAGCATTATTCTAATCATTACCCTAAGGCTAAAAGAAACCAAAAGCCTTGACAAAAATGCATCCGCAGAGCCTCAGGGTTGCGGCCCCTCTATTAGGATTCGGGGATTGAAGAGCTAACCCTGACAGGAACGGCCCCAGAGCAACCAGAGATGCGCCTTTTTCTGCAAGAAGGCCTGTGCTGGTTTAGGAATTAGGGTTTGGGGTGAAACGCAACAGAATTCAGGAAGTTTCGGGTTCGGCGCCCGCAAGCGAGGGTTTTGAAGTGTTTTTGTGTGCAGAAATCGCATTTTGGCTTTTAATGCCCTCTGTGGCTGCATTGTTCGACTTTGTCGCTCTTAACCGCATACTATATAAGTTTTAACTAGCTGGGAGGCATAGTGCAGTGTCACGCCGGTGAGGACAAACTTAACTAGGTTCCCAGAAGCCCCCGAATAAGAAGGGTACCCTTGTTCCTTTACACCCCCAGATACTAGAATCGCACCGCTGCTTCACATCTAAAACACACTGATTACAGTAGAGGAATAGCAAAAGTAGTGGCAATAGTACTTGTAATAAATAGCATTGGCATTTGGGATCACGAATCTGGGACGGTTTTGAGTCTCTGGGCAACCTAGACATGTTCAGCACTTGACCCTTCAACCTTAAACGAAACCACATTCCCAAAAGTTTACTGCTTGTGTAGGGACACATGAAAGGTAGCCCTAGATGCTACATATTAAGGTCTTATGGTTGGCTTTATACTTCTGTATTGTGGTTTCAGAACAGGCTTAGGGTTATATACTGGCCAGGGTTTGTGATACATTGCCGTATAGTGATGCGGAGACGAGCTTACCTGTTGTCTGCATTGTAGTCCCTATGTTCGGCTACCCTCAGGATCCAAGCATACAAAACTTTGGTTAAACCACATAAAGGGGCTGTAATGGTAACTCTAGGAAGCGAGATACTGCTACCTTTACGGTCCAAGTGCTACCCTTCCAAACTGAATTTGTTTGGGACCTGAGGTTGTGGGCACATGGACCCTTTCAGCCTCAACTCTTCTGGTACCCTTGTAGAACCTTTGCAGCAACCCTTAAGTACACCCTTCTGGGGCGCATGGACCTTAAGGCCTCAAGGTCTGTTAGGCGATCTCGGGCCTCCAGGTCGTTCTTTGCCTCACTGACAGAGTCCGGAAGCCGCTTTGTGGGTGCAGCGCGCGTCTCGGAGAGTCCCCACCTGATCTCAACCCTGAACCCTAAGCATGGATTTTGAAGCAATCAAGGAGAAACAAGTATGGACTTTCTTTTCATACATAAAGGCTCCTTGAGGAAACAACTGGTCCGAAAAAGGCATTCAAGTATGGTATTCCCGGCGATAACACCGATCCTGTAAACCTCGTAAAGCGTTAAATCCCACACCCCCCAAAACACCTGCGGTTGTGGGTATGAAGCTTTTCGAACTCTCGACTGCTTCGGACCTTACCTCTTCAAGAGTTTAAGGCTAACTTCGCTCCTTCTAGGGCGTTCGGTTCTAGGGCAGTGGGTCCACATTGGTTTTCGCACGACTGAAAATGAGCACCAATCTGCGGTGACATTCTATCCTATATGCATCCCTCACCCCTTGGGTAAACCCTAAACCCCAAACCCACATAGCTGCTTAGGACCCCTTGGGTGTCAGCTGCCACTGCTCTAGAACTGGCAACGGTTCTGGAGAGTTGCTGCTGAGGCCATCAAGCACTGCGTCAGGTTTGGATGCAGTTATTTATGCGCATTCCCAGCACTCTTCCTGATCTCAGCTTTGTGATGGTTTCTTGCTGCGCGGCTGGCTGCGCCATGTCGCTGTAGACGATCTGTTTCCATAGAATCAAAACTCAAGCACCACTGAGGTTCGTTGACAAGGCCTTTCTGAGATATCACTTTCAGCCCTGGCGAGTGCATTCTTCAGCCAAGGGGACAAGGGAGTTTAGGGTTGAGGGCTTAACATGGGACTTAGTAAGCAGGCTATGATTTATGAGTATAGCCGCAAGTACTCGAAGCGGATTCATCCTACAGATGATAACTGTATCTATCGACCAGGTTCAATACAGGTCCCGCGATCATTCAAGCAGGGTTAGGACGGTTAGGGGCTTCACAAGCCTAAGTACCTGAACATTTTGCGGAGGTACACCCAATAGTCAGGGTCAGTCTTCACCTACCATTCTGCATAGCTCCGGGTGCCAGGCCCTAAACCTAAAACCCAAACCTAAGACTCTGAGACTCTTACAAAACCTGAATACCTTCAGAACCAAAAACATACAAAACTACAACAACAAACACAAACACACAGCCACGTGAAAAAACAAAAAACACACACAAAACACCACAGCGTCTATAGGCAAAACAGGGCAGCAGCCCTGCTGCAGTCTCAGTGGCCGCTTTGCCCTGGCGGTGAGCTTCGCCGACTCGTCCTCCTGCACGGCAGATTTGGGAAAGGCTCTTTCTTGGGGTTTAGGAGCTTTGGGGTTTAGGGCTTTAGGGTTTAGGGGTTTAGGGTTTAGGGGTTTAGGGTTTTATTAGTTGGGTTTAGGGTTTTTTGAACCCAAAGGGTTTAGGGTTTAGGGGTTTAGGGCTTTAGGGTTTCGGGGTTTAGGCCTTTAGGGTTTAGAGCTTTAGGGTGTAGAGTTTTGAGCTCAAGGGTTCAGGGGGATGCAGGGTTTCGGGCTCTGACTTGGTAACGACAGCCGACAGGGAGCAGCAAATTGCAATAGCAATCGGCAACTGTTAGGAACATGGAACAAGTAGTAATACCAACAATACTACATGGAGTATTAAGACTCAGAGTAACCCCAGAGTGCCTTGTTCACTTAAGACACCCTGCAGGACCCCAACCCTTAACTTACCCCAAGCCCGGAGCCGCAAGCCCTACCTAAACCGTAAACTGTAAACTCTTGTCCCTCGGCCCTACCCATAGACCCCAAAGTAGTTCCTTTTTGGGATTGCCTTATAGGAGTCTAAATATGAACCCCAAAAAGGAACTACTTTGGGGCCTTACGGTAGACCCTAAACCCTAAACCCTCGATCCTAGACCTTCTGCAGGAGGGTCCTTTTCGGGCGTTTCCGGTAGGCCCCAGCGCTTCGCCCGTGCCGCGAGCTTCTCCTCAGCTTCCGCTGTCTCCGGCTAAGATAAAATATATGGCCTGAATGATTCGAACATAGGGTTTAGGGGGTATAGATACGGCTTAGGGTTTAAGGATTTGGGCTGCTTGGGCACTAACTTTATGATGATTCAAGCATGGTTTTGAGGACATAATATTATCATCTGAAAAGTTTCACTTTCTAAGGATCCCATGGGGATAATGTCCCTAAGCCCTAAATACGAACTCTGAAGCAGTCCTGGGTTTGTAAGTTTAGAGTTCTACATAGACCTCCAGGGTTTTAGGGCTACGCTAGCAAGAAGAAAAGATCGCATGGCTCGGAACACTAACATACCACTACAAATTATAAACTGAGGGGTAATTACGACTTTGACATGACAGAGCATGGCAAACAACGCGACAACTTTAGTACCCAGTAAGAAAACAGGGCAGAATTACGATTCTGAATATGAGCAGTTGAACACCCATGCTTCTGATCTTCGTACTGAATTCACAAGCAAAACAAAGAAAGCAGAGTAACAGGGAGCAGTATTAAGAGCTCAGACGGCAAACCAGCAACCGCTAACCGTGAGATACAAATGTGCGTGTAATTACACGATTAAGATAGCACCTGTGCACGGAACACCACAGAACAAATCATATAATCAAAATCTGATCTAACATAGCACCTTAGGCCGCTGCTTCCGTCTCCGTTGACGTTGGAGCCGCAGACGTTCCCGCGTCAGCCGCCAGGCCCCACCGCCTGGGATTCATGTGAGGTCAAGGCCAAGACACCCTGATAACAAAATACAACAGCAGCAACGGCAACGACATCATCACCATCACCATCGCCAGCACCAGCACCAGCCGCTGCACCACCACAACCCCAGTCGCTGCCGACCCATGACAACCCCAACGACCACAGTGCTTCTGGGGCTGAACGCCATCGCATGATAGTAAAGGCCAGGGTTTCGCACAGTGCAGGCGGCCTATTTTTGAGGGGCTTCTTGTTGAGGGTGATTCGCTAGTGGGGTCTAGGTTTACGCAGTTGCATAACGCCTTCCGTGACTCGTGGCTTTTGGGCCTAAGTGACCCCAAATTCCCTTGTTCAGTACAGTGAAGCATCATCGAATACTTGGAGGATCAAGGGACTTAGTAACTAGGGCTATAAGGAAACTATACTTACAACTCCAATTAGCGTACTTATAACCTCATATACTAAGTTCCTTGATCCTCCAAGTAAAGTATCTGTCAGCATACACATAGTGTATAATTTGTTATGTAGTAGAGAATACGAAAATACTCACCACTTGCACAATCACAGTACTCACTTGGAGGGTCGGGGGACCTAGTAACTGGTTATTTTAGGGACTTATCAATACCATAACCCCAATTAGGGTCCCATTTAAGGTACTTATAAGTCTACTTACTACCTACTTACTAAGTCTGAACCCTAAACCCTATAGTACCCCTATAGATCCCTTTAAAGGAACCCTTAGAATCCCCTTTAAAGGCCCTACTAAGTCCCCCGACCCTCCGAGCATCCTTTGGAAGATACGGCCTGCTGGGGCCGAGAGGTCCCGAAACCGAAACCCGAACACCAAGCTTTAAGTCCAAAGCTAGATACAAGGTTCCCGTAGAACTTCTGAACACCCACTTACTCTGTGTATATACATATATAACCCATATATATATACACACAGAAAATACCAATATATATATATAGAGAGAGAGAGAGAGAGAGAGAGAGAGAGAGGGAGAGAGAGAGAGAGAGAGAGAGAGAGAGAGAGAGAGAGAGAGAGAGTTTGTGTGTGTGCGTGTGTGTGAGGCCATGGGGTTCAGGGTTTGGGGTTGCGGTTGAAGGTCTTATGGTTGGCCTAAGCCCTGCACCTCACACCTTAGACAACATCGCAAATCCTGAACACCCGACACTCTAAACTCTAAACCCTTGTAAGCAGAACATTGAGTCGCCGAGGAGAAAGGCCTTAGGACCCCACACAACTGAAATACAGAACAAAAGCCGTATCGAAGACCTTAAAAGGCTGAGTATTTGAGTTCTCGACACTTGAACTAGAAGCCCTTTTGAAAGGAATCCTTAATCCTACATACCTTCGTCCCACCTTTTGGGGCCTCTGACAAGCCTGAGAAAAGGCGAAAATCCTAGTTAAACTGCACACCCTTCAACCGCACACCCAAAGCCCTACTTGTCGGGTATCATGGGCAACTAAAGGTTAACCTTGCTGACTATATGGGGGTTATACCTACACTACTACTAGGAAGCCCCTGAAACCGAAACTAACCATTGGTTTTGGGCTTCGCTTGGCTCTTCAGCTCCTTATTTACTAGGGATTCTCATCATCCCTGGTTCCTTAGCTCCTCCAATATCAGTGGTTAGGAAACCCGAAGAGGCATGTGGGTAGTTGTCAAAATTAGGGTCCCTTCTTGGGTACCCTAAAGAAAAGGTGCCGTGTTATAATAGGGACCCTAAAAGGGCCCATAATTTTGACGACCACCCATGTCCCAGCGGCTTTGCGCGAACGGCTTTCTTCTCCTCCTCGGACAGCTCAGCCTCGGGTTTCGGCACCAGCCCGGAGGGCTCCTTACTTAAGAAGGCTTAGGGTTCAGGGTTTAGGGGTTTGGGGGTTTAGGGTTTTAGGGTTTAGGGGTTTGGGGCTTCGGGTTTAGGGGTTTGCGGGTTTAGGGGTTTAGATTTTGGGGTTTAGGGTTCGGGGAGTTAGGTTTTTTTTTGAGGGCTCTTTTCCAACCGGTGTGCTGCGGGAATTTCCTTACCAGGAGGAGGAGCCTGTGGCTATAGGGCCTCTGCGGGGGGGGGGGGGGAAGGGACGAATAAACGGTTCGCCTACAGGTACAAGCTCAGAGGCCCCAAATCGACTTGATCAGGTGCCAAGTCCTAAGTCCCGAAAGTAGGTAAAATAATGGCCCAACACCCATAAAGGGCCATTCTTCTACATACTGTTGGGGCCCAGGGTTAGCTCAGACATAGAAGTGCAGCCTGCTTTGCGGAGTTGTCTCGATCCCTGAACCCAGAGATCCCCCACTACCCCTTAATTAAGGAACATACCTTAAATCATACCCTAGGCTTCCAGGGAACTTATTATTGGGTGCTTAAGGGGTCTAGGGCCCTAACTATAAGGTCCTTGGAAGCTTAGGGATAGTATTGAGGCCTCTGTAATTTAAGGTATATTCTTTAATTAAGGGGTATTGGGTTCTCTGGGAAGTTAGCTGAAAACCCTTCCAGATCACCATCCCGAGCAACCTATTGGCATGTCTGCAGCAGACAGTCTCGATCCTACAGGACCGACTAACTTACCTTTGGTTAGTAGGGAATGGAGGAATTGGGTACCATTACAACTACTATTACTACCATTCTTCCACTCCCTCTACTTGGAGGATCATGGGACTTAGTAAGTAAGGTTATAAGTACCCTAATGGGGGTTTTAAGTATATACCTTATTCATATCCCTAGTTACTAATCAAGTCCCATGATCCTTCAAGTAACCCAAGGTATGCTAGCGGCCCATGCAGGTTGACTGGCACCGGGCTTCCTGGCTGAAATATCACAAGCTGACTAATGCGGGCATGTGTGCGACAATACGTAACAGCCAGGAAACTGTCGAAACGCCCTTTTGGTACGACCGACACAGCGGGAAGCATCATAGCTTATGAATATGATCCCCAACGGGAGCCCGATTTAGAAAACTACTCAATTATCTCCAAGCCACCTCGGTGTCCGGCATCGTTAAATCTGAGCCGCAGTGAAACGAAGCCAGAAGTGAAGAACCCTCCTAAACCCTGAGATTATAAGCCCTAAGCCCAATAAAATTCGTAGACATAACTCGAAGTCTAATCAACGTACAAGCTCCAAGCCCACTCGACTGAATGCGTGCTGAACATTCGTCAGCCCATACTGCCAGAAAATTGCGACACTGGACATGTGTCAACCCAACCCCCGAACTTTGAAAACCTAAATGCAGAGCCCGGCAACCCGAAATACATAAACTTTAAACACAGCCGGGCTTACTCCGACAGTCCTAAGTCCAAGAACCTTAAGGCCTGATTGAACCAGGCCCCGCAAACCCTAAACCCTGAATCCGCACTTGATCGCGTCCTTAGGCTTGAACAGGCTGCGGTTGGACACAAACTTTCAGCAAGCAAGGACCCCTGTTTATAGGATGACAGCAGGGGTTTGGGCTGGCGCTCTGGGGTGCAATTAACTTTCTGATGGGAGGCCAACAGGGGGTTTAAGATTCTTGGGGTAGGGATTCCTTAATATGAACCCTACTACGGGAACCCTAATCCCTACTAAACCCCCAGAGGCTAAAACCATCTAAAACCCCTTTTGACCTCCCATGAGCTTCAGGGCCGAGGGATTGAGCAAACCCTAAACCCTGCAGATAACCGCAAATACCTGCCCACAAATAACCTACCTTCTTTCCCTAAAGGTTCATGTGCCCAGGTAGTATATACTTTGGGCCCAATGTACGCATATAGGGAGTACTCTAAGGGCCAATGTATATATTATTTAGGTACATGGACCCTTAAGGTTTAAGTATCGGGGAAGACAAGCAGAAAATGTTGCTAGAACCCCAAACCCTTTGCAATAGTAACTCGTCCTCAAAGGGTCCACATACCTTAAAAGCATGCATTCTCCTGAAAATACTACAGCCACCACAACGCTGAAAGAAGAACTCGCCAAATGTTGGACACTGGTTCTTCAGGGTACAAGGGGTTCAGTTAAAGGGGTTCCTATGATGATTTCCACTAGACCCTAAACTCTAAACCCTATTTGAGATGCAAAACCCTGTTAGACCTCAAACCTTAAACGCAAAGGATCACGACCGTAAATCCACAGTTACCTCACCCTAAGGGTCCATGTGCCCCACTAATACTTACTTCGGCTTTAATATAGGTGTTTTGGGTCCAAATTATATATACCATTTGGGTACAGGGACCCTCAGGGTAATTGCCACGCAGTGGCAATGCTTCATTCACTGTGTTTGAGGCTTCTCTACCAATCATCTACGTAGTAGGTGACATATGATCCATGATTTTGACAACTGCGCTTCCAGGTCTACCTATGGTCTCCATTGGATCTCCGTTTTGGTTACAATGTAGGATCCTTGTATGTATATATGTATCTTACACGGCGACGAGCTTGACACATGCTGATTTTCGTACATCTAAACCGACATGTTTTACCATCTCCGTGACGGTCGCACCCGCAACCAATAGGGCAATAGGGCCGCCCAGTCTACTTACAATGGTGAACCTGTGGTTTTGAAACCGGTGGACGATTTTTTCACTTTAAACATAACTGTTAATCTTAAACTTTAAACATAACTTTCAGTTTTACACTTTAAAAGTAACTTTCAGTTTTAAACTTTAAACATAACTTTTTAACTTGTACACTACCTCCCTGGCCTTGGCGGTCCGACACCCCAACACTTAGTGACAATACCTCACCGCATGGGTGTATGTATATGTGTGTATGTATATATATATATATATGTATATACATATATATATATATATGTATACAAAGTGAACAGAAAAGGAGCTGCAACAGATACTGCAGGTAAGAACTCTTGCTTTTTGCTTCGGCAAGAAGTTGCGCGATCTGCCCGAAACCAAGCAGGTCGGCAAGATCTTCCGGAGTATTTCCTGCAAGCCAGGGCTGTAAGCCGGGAAGCTCACGACCTAACTTGAAGAGTTTCTAAAAGGAATCCTAGACGGGATCTATAAGGGATCCATAGGGTTTTAGGATCTAGGGTCTACTTGGAGGTTCATGGCACGCAGTAAACAAGGTTAGAAGTACCCGAATTGGGCTGTCAAGTGTATATAAGTACAGTTACCTTGTAAGCCTAGTTACTAAGTCGCATGATCCTCCAAGTAGCTGCGACTCCGAGTACCTAGCACTAGTATTGGTTTCTTTCTACTGTGTAACTCTAACTAAGCCAACCTACTGCCTACTATTGTGTCGGATTTCGAGTCAGAGGTAAACCCTGAATCCTAACTCTGCCGACACGCCAGAACAAAACGTGAATGGCAGAGATAGAATAACAGCTTTGACCGAGCTGTTGCTCATTCTACTCGAATTCCTGAAACCCAAACCCCAGCCTAAACCCTTCCCCAAGGGTCCAAAGGACCCAATAAGCAGGTACTTGGGTTTGGGGTAGTAGTAGTTATGTAGGTTAGTATTTGGGAGAGTACATGATTATTGGGTACTTCGACCCTTAGAGCTCAGCAGAACCTTACACGTCTCAACGGCCTGCCCGATCCACGAGAGCTGTAGACGAACCTGCAGCCAACAAAGTCTCCACCTGGGCTGCTTTATGCTTTCAGTCTTCTGTCGGGGCTTCATCCCTAACCCTAAACCCTAAACCCTAAACCCTAAACCCTACACCCTAAACCCTAAACCCTAAACCGTTCATGTTCAAGGAGTCCATACTCTACATCTTCTACAAGGGTCTCAACAGAGTTCGGAAAGGTCTACTTGGAGGGTCGGGGGACTTAGTAACATAAGGGGGTTCCTTTAAAGGGGTCCTTTAAAGGGATCTATAGGGATTCTATAAGGGTTTAGGGTTTGGGGGACTTAGTAACTGGCTATTTTAGGGACTTATAAGTACCATAACCCCAATTAGGGTCCCTTTTAGGGTACTTATAAGTCTACTTACTACCTACTTACTAAGTCCCCCGACCCTCCAAGTATGCATGGTATGGATGTACAAGGGTCTGTGCCAGTTTTTGGGACATCGTCAGAGGATCTGTATGTACTGAAGGTATGGAGTCCTCAGAGGACCTGTATGTACTGCCAGTATGGAGTTCTCTCACCACCACCCCCCCCGCCCCCCCTCACGCTTCCGAATTCATCCTGATTGCCGCGAAACTCATGGCTAGTTCCCGGGCCTACCGCATGCTTGGGAAGTGCGGTCGATGGCCCGCTGATAGAGTAAATATCTTTCCTCATCATTATGGGATTTTATGGGATTCTGTGGAGTGTGTTCATTTGGACCCTCCTATACAGTAAGCCCCTCCAAAACAGCCCTAGACCTTCAGGGTTTCTTAATCAAGTTCCTATATTGCAATCTAAGAGGGAAACACAGGTGGATCCCTGACGCTCACTTCAACCTAAACCCATGCAGAACTTGTAAAACCCTTTAATTTACATAATCCTTATAGGAGCCCTAAACCCGAAACCGTATACATAATCCTTATGGCACCCTTACAGGAATTGCATAGCCTGTAATGGATAATTTGGTTTTCGAAGCACGACAGAAGCGCTGGCAAACGCTAACACGTGGGCTTCTTAAAGATGAGGCGTCACTCTTGAGGGTCCTTGCATGCGGGATCTTGCTATTGGCCCTCTTCCTGACACCCTTTCAGGGCTCCTTCATGCGGACCCCATGCAGATTCTTGCGCCCCTCCCTCCTGTTTATGGCCGCAGCATCCGGAACCATTGGGAATACACCTCCGTATATGCAGCTCCTATTCAAGCAGGAACCAAGAGGGTCCATATACACAGACTACTGTTATGGAATTAGGCCCCCCGAAACCATGGTGTTTTGGGACCTAGTTCCATAATGGGGGTATCTGTGGACCCTCTGGGGAACTTTCGCTCATGGCTACAATTGGCACACGCATTTCGATCCACTGCAAACTTGGTTTTGAGCCCGAGCCCTCAATCCCTTACCCCTCAACCCCTAAAGACCTAAACCCATAAAACCGGCACCCCGAAGCCCTACAAACATGGGAGTTTCCGAAAAGAGGGGACCCTAATATAGTACCCTAAATAGTAGGATCCTTATTGCAAGGGTCCCCAAATAAGGTACCCGTAATTTTACGGAAACTCGCACATCGATGGTGCAAGTCGAGGTGCTATGTTCTCCATGCCCAAAGAAGCAGCGATGTGAATCGCTGCTTGGCCGTTCACGTCCTCAGATTTGCGGCAAGTTTTCCCTGCACTAAACACTACCGAAAGCACTGGCAACCCTGTTGGGTAAAGGGTAGTATGGTGGCATAAATAACTGGACAGGGTTTTGGGCTGCTTTATTCAACTTTATTCATAGTATAGTTATGCAAGGATTCCTTAGGAATATGTTGGTCATTAAGTAGGCCATGTTACTATTTTGGGCTGGCAAAAGGGGGTTCTTGTAATCCGCAGGGCGAGGATCCGGATTCCTGAGTGATGCGGAACCCTTCGATCCCAAACCTTCTGCCACCTTCTCCCGCAACGGTTTAGGGTTGGGGGTTTAGGGTTTAGGGTTTGAGGTTCAGCTGCCTTATCCCGAAACGTTTCTTTTGTTGAAAGCTCTTTTTTTAAATGTTTGCCAGTCATCATCGGACGACATCCATCAAGGCCAATACAGGCCAGGAGGCCAGGGACGGGTTAGAGTTTAGGTTCAGGGGCTTAGAGTTTAAGTTTAAGGTTTAGGGCTGAGGGAACTTATCCCTTGGTCCTTAACCTCAACAGACCCTCTGGAAACCTTCTACTGGCAGAAGCCCTAATTCTCAAACAACCCAAACCCTAAACCCAAAACCCCAAACCCAAAGCCCTCAAGCCGCAGCTCGGAACAGTCACCGTCATCCCTACCCCAAGGGTCCAAGTACCTAAGAATCGTATACTCTCCAAACCCTAACCTACATAACTACTATCCTAAAACCCAGTACCTAACTATTGGGTCCATTGGACCCTTGGGGCTACACTCTTCTCGCTTCTCAAGGCCCCTGAGACCCAGCTTCGGTGGCATCGGCTTCTGCACGGACTCGGAGCAAAAGCTCCTCGAATGAGATGGGGGCTGAGCCCTAAATCCCAGAAACCCTAAATCCTGGACGGTTCAGGTTTTGGCTTCAGGGCTGAGGCCGTAAACACTATACTTGGAGGGTCGAGGGACTTAGTAAGTAGGTAGTAAGTAGACTTATAAGTACCCTAAAAGGGACCCTAATTGGGGTTATGGTACTTATAAGTCCCTAAAATAACCAGTTACTAAGTCCCCCGACCCTCCAAGTACACCCTAAACCCTACAAGGTTTAGGGTTTAGGCCCTATAACCCCGAAGAACCTAAACCCTGAGGGTTGAGGGCTTAGAGTGTTACTTGGGTTGGTTCATGCTAGAAGAGGTAGCTGAGTTGGGGATCCTTCAAGTACGGATCCGGACTAACTATGTCGTTGCCACGTGGCTAGTAGCGCTATTCTGTGTTAGTATTGTTGTCTTCATTGTTGTTGTTGTTGTTGTTGTTGTTGTTGTTGTTGTTGTTGTTGCTATGGCTATTGTTATTAGTATTTGCTACTACTACTGTCGGTATTATTATTGTCATTATACTGAAAAATCTGCAATATGATTAGAAGCATTGCTATAATTGTCATTATTCTTAGCCTCCTTATGTCTTGTTTGTTCAGTCTACTCTTTCATGAACTGCAGGCGGGCCACGACGACCTGATCATGACCTCCCCAAACGGCATCGTGAAGCACACTGCTCTCTGCCCAGTCGAAAGAGTTCGGCGTGCTGCCCACATCCTGGGTTCTGCTTAAGGAACCTAATTTAAAGCCACCAGCATGGGGATCTATAGTAAATAACATGGTTTCCTTATTATGGTAATTTCAACTGAATTCCTTAACAAGAACCCAGCATCTACCAGATGCTGCACCATGTCTACGTGACCGTTGGCAGCCGCCCAATGCAATGGCATCGCCCCCTCCTGATCGCGCATATCGCTTGCAGCGCCATGACGACGTAGTGCCTCTGCTACCTTGCAAGCTACTTCTCCCAAGACGCACACCTAGTCTGGTTGTCTGCAAGTTTACCACCTAAGACAGCAAAATACAACCGTGATGCCCATCTCAAGTTGCTCCGACATGACCTTCAGCCGCAGCTGCGTGGTACTCTGTGCTAGCAGTATCTGCTGCAGGAGCTGCCTGAACTATACCACCAGCTCGGCTTGAAACGAACCTGGCAAACCGATCGCGCGACCAGAAAGTACCACTCCTCATAGCCTCGGTTCACCAGCAACCCTTGTCAGCTTAATTAAACTGCTTTTTCAGTGGACTCACAATTAGAATGGGTTTTCGGGGTGCATTATACCATGATTAGGTATAACAAGGAGACCCAACAGGGCTAAGGGTTATGAAGGGTTCCCTACAGATACCATCTAAACACTATATAGCGGGAAGCTTCCCTTTATTATTTGTGTTTGAGACTGGGCTCTCTCTTGAGACCACAACCGTGAATTCAAAAACCTAAGCCAGACCAGAGGAACTCCAAACCAACACTTTAAAAGAGCCCTTGTCCCTCAAAAGGAACCCTAAACCCCAAACCTTAAACCCTAAACCCTAAACCTTAGGTTGGCTCCTGAATTGGTTCAAATGCGTGAAAAACCACATAAAAAGACACAAAACGGACCTTGGCAGACTCTCATGGGCACGAGGGCAGGATGCTGCACTTGCGCCTTATTCAGTCTAAACCTTAAACCGAAACAAGACACGATCACTCGAAACTCCCAACTCGGAGATGGTATAGTGTAGACCTTCGCCGGCTGAATGTCTGCACCCTGCTGCAGCAACTGCGTCACAACCTCAGTTTAAGTTTAGGGTTTCGGGTTTAGTTTTCGGGTCTAGTTCGGGATTTGCCCAAAGACATGAAAGTAAACTCACAGAGTGTTACCAGACCTTAACCAACTTGATCGGAATGGTACGAAGGCGTAAACCGTAATACCGTAAGACCCCACAAAGTTTAATCCGTTTCATATTGTTGAAGCAGAAAAACAGCATGCGCCATAATCACTGGAACTGCAACAAGTGACAATTGCTTCAAAGATATGTATTGCACAACTGCCGAGACCCTGGATTGGATTGCAGCACGTTGCTTTGCATGACCTACTTTATGGCTAGAAATAGGGTCTAGGCGGACCGTAAAACCTTATTACCTCTACTGTGACCCGCAACGCCCCTACAATCCAGAACCCAAATCCAAAAGCCCCCCAAAAATACTTAGCATCCTATCCCTAAGAGTCCAAGTGGCCAAACCTTAACCTCGAAGAACTGCTTCTCTAAGGACTTATATGAGGAAATCTTAAACAGGGACCCTGAGGTAGCTTTCTTAGGTCTAATTTGTATTTGAGACCTAAACCTCTCATACATGGGTACTTAGACCCACTAGGTGAACTGCCATCGCAGAACCAGGAAGCTGTGGCGTGTCCCGATCTTGCAGCCCAGTGCAGAGGCCGGGCCCCGCGTTCATCCAGAGCTTCCTATACTGAACTTAGATTCCTAGCAACAAATTATAATTTTAGCTGTTTCTTAGGGATTATAATAACCAAAAAAATAACAAACATTTCTAAGTACCCCTAAGCTTCCGTGTCACTGCCAGCAGCTCGGAGCTCTTGCAGTATCTCCTCGGCCAGTGTTCATAGGGACCCTCAGGGGGGTGGTAGGGATTAGGGGGGGTTTAGGGTTTAGGGTTATCATAAGGAGCCTTAGGGGGGTAGGGGGGAGGGGGGTAGGGGACTATACTTCCTTAATTGGGCCTTATTAGGTCCTTTTTCTGGGCATTAAGGCCCCCTTATCCCCCCTACCCCTACCCCCTAAGGGTCCCTATGAAGTGTTCGGCCGGGTGTATGTGTGCCTAGGGGCTCCGTAGTAATTCCTTTTGCGACTAAATCCCAAAAGGAACTACTATGGTGCCTATTGGCGTAGACGTATTCATGCACACATGCTGGAATCAGAGTCTACACATGCTACGGTACCAGTACGCACAGCTATTCATCTATCCATTCCGTGTCTGTTTCTTTGACTGCTCGAATACAAACCCGAAACCCTTAACACCCCCGCAAAACCTTAAACCATAAGCACTAATACCCTAAACCCTAAACCCTCATGCCCCAAACCCTAAACCTCGAGACCCCTAAATCTCTAAAAGCCCTGAACTTTGGCCCTAAACCCTAGATCCCGATACCCCAAACCCTGCGCCTTCAACCCCAACCCGTAGCCCTGCTTCAAAGCCAGGTTTCCGCGTGCCCGCATAGTGGTACTTATGCCTTAAGGGGTCCCTATATGGGAGTTTCCGAAAATAGGGGACCCTGATACAGTACCCTAGATAGTAGGATCCTTATTGTAAGGACCTCAAAATGAAGCACCCCGACTTTTCGGAAACTCCCATATAGGTACTTTTGAGGGCTAAGTACCTACCCTAAACCCTAAACCCTAAACCCCGAACCCCGAGCCTTTGGGGTTCAAAGCCAGGTCTCTGTATGGTTGCGCTCTGAAGCCCAGTGGAGTGGCGTGGTGGCCGACCGATCGGCAGCGTTAGCCTTTCGGGTTTGGGGTTTATGTTTTAGGGTTTAGGGTTACTTGAAGGGATCTATAGGGTTTAGGGTTTAGGGTTGCCTGAAGGGTAAGTAGGGATCTATAAGGTTTCTAGGGCTTAGGGATCTAAGGTTTTAGATTTAGGGTTCTATCGCTTCAGGTTTCCTTGAAGGCTTTGGGTTTCAGGGATGTGTGTTTATGTTCAGGGTGTAGGCTGCACCCGCAGCCCAAAACCTAAAGCATGTAAGCTTGCTGTTTGCGGCTCAGGTTTAGGTTTCAGGGCTTCGGGGGCTATAGCCCTAAGAGCCCTTTTGAATGTGGACTGTGTTACTCTACTCATGTCGGACAATACCCGAAAGCTACTTTATGGAGATCCTTGTGGTCAAACTTAAACAAGTACCCAAGAGCCGATCAGTTCAAGCTCCAATAACAACCAACCCGCAGCAGAGGGCCCCCTGCTGATCCCTAAATCCTGAAACTCTTGCAGTTTTAGGGATTCCTCAGGCTGATTGATTTATGCCTCAAGAATATAGGCTTCTAGGACTAAACCCTAGCATCTCGATGGTTTAGGGTTTATAGGGCTTTAGGATAGTTTAGGGGTTTGGGGTTTAGGGTTCAAGCCACTTGTGTTTCTCTACCCCCGGGCCTCTGCACGCGCAGCAAGGAGCAGCCGAACAGAGCCGAGATGGCCTTTGGCAGAGGCCTCGAAGCGTTAATCTGTCTGGTTCCTAGCAGGGAATGGGGACTGGACTTTGGAGACTGTTACGGGGATTGTATAGGGACTACTAAGTATTAGAAGGTAGAATGGAATAGTAAGGTTTTTGCAGATAGCTGTAGAAAGGTGTGTTATGATATGTGGTGTATACACCTATCTTGCGGTTCTTGTCGGCTTTCATCTTGGTTGTGAAGAATGGCTTGGACTCAACAGAGTAATTAATGTAGTTCGGGCAGATGGTCCGAGTACCCAAAGAGTCAAAGAGTGTAGTTGTGGGGCTTACCTAGAGCAACCACTGTACCTTTGAAATAGGAGATATGACCTCAACGTATTGGTGCGTGTACCCAGACTACTGTCGGTGCAGCCTAAATTCATGCTCAGGCTTTAGCATGTTAGACCCCATCGGGGCTGTTCTACCCTCACGTGCCCTTCGGGGTACAGCAGCATTTATACATGCATACATGCATGCATGCAAGCATCCATGCATACATGCATCCATGCATACTACATAGCTACACATAGCACACACACACACACATATTTGTATTTATATGGACACATCGTACGCACATGCTGTGGTTACTATAGGTGCGCAGACCCTTGTGTGGACTCCAGGCCTCGTGCAAGGGGCAGGCCGAGTACTCGTCGCGGCACTCTGTCTCGGCACCGGCCTCCAGCAAGGATGCCATGACCTTCACGGAGATGTTTGGCAGACTTCAGGTGGCTATACCTGGACCCCAAAAGTATGTAGAATAATGGCCTTTTTATGGGTATTGGGCCATTATTTGACTCATTTTGGGGGTTTAGGTAATGCTTGGGACAGGATGTTGGAGTGCAGGATGATCTAGCCATATCGCGACCAAATGTCCAGACCTGCATTAGCTGCTGTGTAAGTGTAGTGCGCCTCTCTTTGTGGCTTCGGGTTCAGTAGGGCGCAAACCCTAAACCCGAAATGCCTAAACCATAAACCCCTTTGGGTTTAAGACTTCGGAGTAGGAGAGGCATCAAGCCCCTGCATGGTCCTGTGCCAAGCCTTAGTTCCTCAACGCTCTAAAGCACAATCAACATGGCGGCGCTGGTTCAGCCATGACAGTAGTGGCGGTGTATAAGGGCTGGATAGGGCTTTATGATAGTGCCTGAAACGGTTGGTGTGGAATGTTGGTTGTTGGGGTATATTGAAAACAGCCCTGATATGGGTGCATATTCGCTTTCCCATATGGCACTCAGAGGTAAGTTCGCAGCCTAGATAGTTGTGTATATATATATATATTATAATACACTATACATACATATGTATATATATATATATATATATGTACATGCATATACAGACAGAGATACAGAGAGAGAGAGAGAGAGAGAGAGAGAGAGAGAGAGAGAGAGAAAGAGAGAGAGAGTGAGAGAGACAGAGAGTGGTAAACTATCACTGAGGCCTTGGTATGTCCAGCGCCAGCAGCTTCATGGAGAGGACTCCTCAAGAGGACAGCACGGCTACACACCAGCCCTAAACACGACAAGACAGGGGCCTTGATAAATAGTTTAGGTATATTACACTCTAAGTATAATAAGGACGCCCCAAAATAGCTGTAAACACTAACCCCTAGCCCTAGCCCACGAGTGCAGAATTTGGAGGCTCTCTGGCTTGCTGGTTCTGGGGTGGGTCCGTTGTGGGTTTAGGTCTTCCGTTTGGGCACAGCGTGTGAGGCCAAGGGTACCGGGGCCTAGGCCAAACCCGCATGAGATCCGAAGCACCTGATACGGTTTAGGGTTTAGGGTTTAGGGTTGGGGTGATACGGTAGGTGTGATGATGCACTCAGCCCACGAGCTTTGAAAAGAGCCGTGACATGCACAGTCCCGTAGACCCTTAGAGCCACAACGAGATGTTGGCCCGTCCTCCCCCGAAGCTTCGCGTTCGGATCTGCTCGCCTGTGGAGGAGGAGGCTGACGATCTCGTCCTGTCAGTGCGGTATTCCACGTTGATTGTTTGTTTCGCTGGTTCCTGGTGCAGGGTTTAGCGTTTAGGGGTTTAGGGTGTTTTAGGGTTTAGGGTTTAGTTCGGCTCTGCAAGGATTCTGTCCTCTTCTGTTTCGTTCGGTTTCGGTGGCCAGGCTCGCGGACTTCGACCTGTAGCTGGGGCCAAGTTACATACCCATACGGTCCAAAGTACCTATATGGTAGACGCTAGGGTTTCTATACATTAGGAATCCATGCTACGATTTGAATAAGTATCCCACCTATCAGGACCTAGGACCCTTTGGGTTAGGGAATATAAGTAAGGTAGTTACAGTTTGGGGGTGTAGGGTTTAGGGTGGAGTTCTCTGGTTCGGAGAGCTACTGATGTCTTGGAGTCGCAAGCACCGAGAGCAGCTTAGCACCACCATGCACTGACAACATAATGTAGGGGCCTTGATGGTTAGAATACTTTTTGTTGGGATCTTAGACTTTAAATAACAAAAAGAACACCCAAAACCCTATTCTGGTTATTACGGCCCCTACAGTAGGCATTTACGAGTGGATGACACGCCATGGACTCGTACCGGGCCTTCCAGATGGTCACCAGATCAGAATCACTTGTCGCAGTCCGAATGAATGCGCGCTTGATGTTGCCACGAGCAGAATACTTTGGACACAGCAGAGAAAGAATATGGCCTGGCTTCTAAAACTCTGTAGAAGCACAGAGCGGTCAAGAACAGTCTACATGAGAAGGCGGCTCCGGCAACCAAAACAATACACCTGAGTGTTTGATTGCAGTGCGTCAATATCTATATGCCCACCACAACAAAGTGTCAGCACGATGGCTGCCGACTGTCCAAACTAAGCAAGCAACCTGAACAAACGCTAAAGCTCGATCCGGGTTGCAGTTCGAGACACGTTCACAAAGGATTTAAGGCTTTTTGGTCTTGGTGTTTCAACTAGCGGTTTGGCGGTTTGCACCGATGTGGCCACCGTGGCATACAGGAGAGCTTTAGGTTTTAAATGAGTTGTGTCTAAACTCATACAGCTAGTACGCCTGGTCCGCTGGTCAATTGAGGTGTGAACTTCGCGGGCCCTCTTGGGTGCTGTGTCGTCAAACCAAGACAAACAAGACTGCATAAACATAAACACCAAAACGAGCCCCTGTAGAACGCTTTTCCAAAACCTCATGGGTTGCTTGAAGAACGCTTGTAGAATCCTTATAGAGCCCTTATCCAGCCCTTCCTATTATGATTTAAGGTATATTCCTTAATTAAGGGGTTTTGGAGGCTCTGGGTTGTCCAGAACCCCAGACAGTCTCTTCCCAACCCATCCTCGCCAGCAGCCGACGATGTAGAAAGAGGCTCGGTCAGATTCCCAGTGGAAAGTTCCGCCAGCAGCAGGTCTACGATCCTTGACTTGCCCAAAGAGTCCAAGTATCATTATGGTACATACTTACAGGGTATTTTGGGGGTCTAAGTATATACTATAATGATACTACGATCCTTGACTTGGAGCTGCTGGCAGATCTCTTCAAAGGGATAAACATCTTCTAGGGCCTTCACGATGGTTCCATAAAATGCAAACACAAAGCCCTGCATTTTGACTTCGTCCAGGACTTAGGGCCTGCTCGTGGTCCGGAGATACCTGGCACAACGACCCGGCACCCGAAAATCTGACCGGAACCCTAAACCCTAAACCCTAAACCCTAAACCTGCAAAGGTTTAGGATTCAAGCGTTTCTTGTTAATCGCACCTGTTTCCTCGTGCAGGTGCTATCAGAAAACGCCTTGTAGGCCGTCCCAGCTGAAAGGTGTGCTACCGAAACATCAATTCACAGTTTGTTTATCATTACTCACAGTCCCAGTTTTTGCAGCACGATACAAGTCGGAGCGGTTGGCACGGTCACCCAGGATTTAGGGTTTAGGGCTCAAAGCACAACTATGGCCGCCCAAATACCGACAACTTGTGGGAACCCTTGCAAAGAGTCTCAACATAACGCAACACACTACATAGGACAGTCTTTGAGCCCAAAAGACCTAGCGGTATCAGTCCTCACTGCCTGTTCGTACCTTAAAATTCCAGAGGGTCCTAAGTACCTAAAAAAGTACAAAGTACGGGTTCCATAGATTCTATCGCATCTTGTTCCTAATCAATATCCCCAAAGTATCTCGAAAGTAAGGATTCAGTAGTAGGAATTATATGTGCGGTTTGGGTAACTATGCTTCATTTAGGATCTGAGGGTCCTCTAGGAATTCTTTGACCACGGGGCGATCTGTGACCGCGTCGTGCCGCCACCACCAGCGACTCCTCTACAGTTGCATAGCCTCATGCACAGGCGGTGGTGGTGGTGGGTAGTAGTAGTAGTAGCAGTAGTAGTAGTAGTAGTAGAAGTAGTAGTGGAAGAAGTAGTAGGAGTAGTAGTAGCAGCAGCAGCAGTAGAAATAGCAGTAGCACTAGGAGTAGTAGTAGTAGTAGTAGTAGTAGTAGTAGTAGTAGTAGTAGTAGTAGTAGTAGTAGTAGTAGTAGTAGTAGTAGTAGTAGTAGTAGCATTAGCAGTAGCAGTAGCAGTAGCACTAGAATGAGTAGTAGTAGTGCAAGTGGCAGTGGCAATATCAAGAGCTGTAGCAGTAGCAGCAACAGTCAAAGCAGCAGGCTTCTAGCACAGTCGCTGATACAAGTACTTGTACCAGCAGCAGCCCTAGTGAGCTCAAGGCATGGTCCTAATGTCATAAGTACTAGTCCTCAGGACAACGATGGCTGAAGCCAAACCACCTTCAAATGAGCAATAAACGCAATGATAATCACACTCCTACAAAGGTTGGGTTTGTGCCTAGCAATCCAGGTCACGATGATCAATATGCGCAGGGGTTGCGGCAGTAGTATTAACACTCGTCATCCCTAGCATGGCGTGGAATGACAGAGAAGCACTGTTGGATCCATAAGACATCATGTTCAATACCCTTTTCGGTTTCTACTGGAATAAAGATGAAGGCGGAAAACTACGAAACTCTCATGTAGCAGACTCAGCCGCAGTTGTTGTAGACACGCAGACAGACCCGAAGCATCATGTCTGCGCCAGTGGATCAGCATTGGAGAACCAACCCCCAAACCTCTCGAAATCTCTCAAGAGCCGAGCCACTGAGCCGAGCTATCCCCACATCTTCTGCAACTTAAGGGTTAAGTTAAGGGTTTAGGGCATTTTAGGGTTTAGGGAACTTCAGGGTATTAAAGTTCGTTCATGTCCTAAGCTACTTAAGGCTTTGGGGTTTAGAGCAGTTTGGGGTTTAGGGAAGTTCAGGGTTTAAGTTCCTGTCCTAAGCTTGAGTCACCGAAGCACCTTGCCCCTCCGTCGATAGGCCGGCTTTACGGTTAAGGGGCCCGCTGCAACAACCTTAAAAACCGAATCACCCCTATGTAAACCTGAACAAACTAACGATAAACTCTAACCCCCCCCCCCCCCCCAGAGCCAAAGCCCCAAGGATGTCCGTCTTGTGGAACCCTAGAAACCGATGCGATCACCCCCTCTAATATGAATCAAACAAACATCCGTTCGAAACCTTCGTCGGTAACTAACCCAATCTGACACCCCTGTAAACCAAAAATGTTCTAAGGGCTCCAGCAACTTAAACGCCCTATTGGGACCCTGCGAAAACCCGACTGTAACCCCTACAGCAACTTAGAAGCCTTCGGTACATTCTAAACCATTAACACCAAAATTACGACCCCCCAAAGCGGTCTACACGAAGTTCAGACCCGAGCTACCGGTCTGCACCATCGCAGGCATAGCCGAAGCAGTGGCCTCTTCTGGTTGAGTGTCCCAAAGGGTCGTAGGTACTCTTATGGGGGACAGTGCCCTAAATCATAATAGTAATTCCTAATATAGAATCCCTACATTCTACTATATAGGCACTTTGGACCCTTTGGGTGTTTGTTGGGTGTAGGGTAGAACCTGAGGTTTCTCGGGGCGGGGAGGCAAGAATTTCACTGGATCTTCGAACTGTTTAAATGGCTGAGTGCAGGGTTTTGGCTAGGTGTTGGAGGGGTTTAAAGGTTTGACGTATTTTGGGTTTGGGAATCAGTGGGCGAAGCAAGCAGTATACGTACAAGTGAACGATCTCAATATAGGGTACGTATACTCCTCTTTCCAACCTACTTGCTAATGAACCCTTGAACCGGCTTAGCCTGAAGCGCTGAAGCTCCACACCTACTCAACGCCGCTTAACCCCCCCAGCCCTTTTCAGAAAACCTAGACCCTATATACACCCTAAACCTCAAGCCCCTGAACCCACTACTATATACTTTAAACTTTAAACCCTGAAGCCTATACCCGAAAACCCTAACTTTTCCTGAGTCCCCCGGAGCCTTTCGCTCCACGACGCCCTGCGATGCCGAGGACGTCGCGAGGAGCTGCTGGACCACGGCGAGATGCCCTCGATGTTTGGGGTTCAAGGGCTTCTTTTAGCTTGGCTGACTTCTGAACCCCCCCTAAGAGCTAAACTCTTAGCCTCCTTAGTAAAGTTCAGAATAGAGAAACCCAGAAAGTTAGAGTCCTAAGGGCCAACCAGAAGAAGGCCAAGTTAGGGTTCCTGGAAAGGTTAATAGAAGGGTTACCATACGGGCTTGGTGTACATGTAGCAGCCTTTCATAATTCGAACAAGGTTTTGGGGTATAGCATAGTACGATCAAAGTAGGAACTTAAGGAATGGTAATTGTCTGACCAGCTCTCTCTGCCGCAGCTGAGCCTGGCCCAGCAACAAATATAATATGTAAATCAAACAACAAAAACACACATAAATGAATAACTAAATGGTTAAGTAAACGAACAGGAACAAACAAATGTGAAAATTCATATATGTATTATTAGGATGACTAATGACTATAATGACTAAAGACTAACAACAGTAGTAGACATGTTGTTTGTAGTAATTATCAATATTAAAAACACTAATCTTGCGATTACTTATATTATGAGTCTTCTTCATAGTATTAACAGTACTATCGCTTTAGTATAGTTGTGCAAACTGTGCACACACACACACACACAGAGACGCGTGCACACACACACACACACACACACACACATGCGTTAACACGCACATGCACATGTGTGTAAACAACCAAATAAACAACCCATGCATAAATGCATCTATGCATGTGTGCATGTACGTATGTATGTAGGTATGTATGTGTCTAACTATGTGTGTATGTCTGTGTGTATGTGTGTATGTATGTACATTGTGTCTAACTATGTGTGTATGTCTGTGTGTATGCGTGTATCATGTATGTATGTATGTATGTATACGTACATGTATGTATGTATACGTACACATCTACAGCCAGAGAGGCCCCGATTCCCCTCAAAACACGCGGATTAAGCCACACGCAGCATATCAGAGGACCAAATGAAACACTAAAGCCGTACTTACAGGGTCCTAGGTGCTGTTACGGGGGATACTTTCCCAAATCAGAATACGTAAGGATCTCTAAATCCTAAACCCTACATTCTACTATAAAGCTGCTTTGGATCCCTGGAATTCGCCAGAAGCCTCCCGAGCCTTGCAATCTGCACACGTAGCCCTTGAACCGTCCCTAAGCCCGAAGCCCTAAACCCTGAAGAACCTA